TCCCTGCTCTCCCTTCACCCCCTCCTCCCCTCCCCCCTCAAACACTTTAATTCCATTTTTACATTTTCTCATATTTTTTTCCTTTTCCCTTATTCCCCCTTCCCTATCCTTCTCACTGTCCCTACACCTTTGGTCCTTTTCTTCCTATTTGCTAATTGTCCCATTAGGATCTTGAGTACTATTTTAGTTTTTCATTAGAGAAACTATTCAGTATTTGCATGGCTCCTCATTTATAACACCAGGATAATAATTTCCTCTTCATAGGGATATTGTGAGTTAAAATTAGGCCACATATGTGTGTGTGTGTGTGTGTGTGTGTGTGTATTATTCTTATATCCATTTGTTTATCTATTTTCTTGTGCTTATCTGAACAGTAAATATCTACCAAAACCAAATTGGCCTCAACCACTGACTCTGAGAAGGGAGAATTACATTTCATTGTATTGTCTTTTGTTCTGTTTGTACTGGTATTGCTTAATATGTATAATCTGTACTTTTAAAATTAGGTAGGAGTCCAGACATATAGATGCTGTCAATAAATGTCAGTTCCTTTTGGTACAGATTTTATTGGGTTGACTATTTGACTTTCTCTGACTTTCCAATGTCTGCCCTAATTGAAGGCTGTGTGTTTCCCCTGGGGATTGATTAGAAAAGATTAAGTGTATGAAGGAGTGAAAATGACATCTTAATATTTCCTAAGGGTTCATACTTGGGTGTACTTCATTGTGGCCAATTTGGAATTTTTTTCACTTGGGAAGTCCTTCCTAACTAGGAATTTAAAAAGGAGCTAAGGATTAAAAAATTCATGATTACTAGTTATCAGGCATTTACTTTGAGGTACTCAGTGTACTAGGTATTCAACTACTATTCTCTCATTCAATCTCAGCATTACAATCTACATTCAAGAGATGAGCAAATGGAACATCCCAAAGGCACAGGCTGACTAGAAAAGAGCTGCACAAGTGTGAAACCATCCTCCAGAGTTCTGCCATAACATTGGCAAGTGCGCACACCCACTGGAGAGCAGCTGTGTGGATTAGAGTGGTGTGGCTGCAGGCGGATCCCAGCTAGGGCCCCACCCTGCCCTGACCCCAGAGGTGTGGGCAATGTGCCCAAGCCACAGCTCACCTAGAAAAGAGCTGCACAGGTGTCCAAGCTTCATCTAGAGTCCCGTCATACCATAGGCCACAGCCAAGGCCTCACCTGGAAAAGAACTACACAGACACTCAAATAACAGCCAGAGACTTGCCCCCATACCACTGATAAGTGCCTGAAGACCCTAGTCAGAAGCTTACACAGACACTAGAAGCTGGGATACACAGCCCCAACCAAAGGCACAGACAACTGCTATCTATGTAAGGGCCCCAGTGAGAGGCACTCCTAGATACTATCTCAAGTGTGCATAGGCTCCAGCCAGTATCCTGCCCAGACAACAGGTCAGCTCAGGGATATAGAAAGCCACCATTTTAAAGCCAGGAATTGGTGTACTGGGGAATGGCAGAGTAAAGGCTGCTTAGTGGCCTGCTGAGAACTGAAGACCATTGGGTGAGCAAAGAGTTTCCTCAACAACGGCACAGCAGGCTGCATTTGTTGAAATGAGAAGATATGGAAATAAGTCTCAAAATCAGACTTGCAGATCACCTAAGGCATCCCCAAAGTGAAAGAAGATGGAACAATCTGATACTCCCTGATACCTGGACTCCCTGAACTGGCAGCTTAAGAGGATCTGGAAAAAATGAAATCAGAAATAATTTCTCAGATAACAGCAGAGATTGTGCCCATAGTACAAGAGATGATTAATAAATCTAGAGAAGACACAGATTAAAAAATAGAGGAGCTGAGAAACATGATGGAATCCCAACGTAGGAAACAAAAGAATCCAGAAAACAGATGCAAAGGTTTGCAAGATATTAAAAACTCCATTGAGAGTTTATGCAACAGAACCAGCTAATGGGAGGACAGAATTTCAGATATAGAAGATAGGATTGCAATTAATGACCAGGAAAAGAAAAATCTCTTAAAAATAGTAAGGGACCATGAGAGATCAATCCAGCAACTGCTGGATGATTCAAAGAATAACATAAGACTGAACAGAGTCAATGAAGAAACAGGAGAGAGTGCAGATGACATTAAAAAAACTGTTCACAGAAGTAAAGGCAGAAAACTTCCCAAATAGGGAAAATAATTTGACATACAGATAAGTGAGGCTTTTAGGACTCCAACTAGCTATGATTAAAATAGCTACACCTAGGCATATAATAGTTAAGATTCCAGAAATCCAACAGAAGAACAGAAATTCTACAAGCAGTTAGAGAAAAGAAACAAGTCACATACAAAGGAAAGCCCATCAGAATTATAGCAGACTTCTCAACACAAACCCTCAAGGTAAAAAGAGCATGGAATGTTATATTTCAAGCCCTAAAGAGAAACAACTCCAACCCAGATTGATGTATCCTGCAAAACTATCTTTCAAAATTGATGGAGAAATAAGATACTTTCATGATAAAGAGCTCCTGAGGAACCAGCACTCAAAAAAAATTTTTTTTAATATCCTAGGAAAAGATAGGATCACAACCCCCAAAAGCCCAGCAGAATAAACCCATCAGGCATCACAAGAAATTAAATGCCAAGTGGGAGAATCCAATAAAAGGAAAAAGTCCTGACAAGGATAAGACAATACATATCAGTTATAACCATCAATTCACCAAATCAATTCAACAATTTGGTCTCAATTCACCAAATCAAAAGAAATAGACTGGTCAAGAAGTAAGATCCAACAATATGCTGTATACAAGAAACACACTTAATTAAAAAATAAACTCATAGGTATAGCTATCCTCTTTGCAGATCAAATGGATTTCAAACCAACACTGATTAAGAGACAAAGAAGGATGTTACATCCTTATAAAGAGAAAAATCCATGAGGAAGAGATGACGATCTTAAATATATATGCACCAAACAGAAGTGCATGCAACAATATAAAACAAATACTAATGGACATGAAAAATCATGTAAGTACTAATACAATAGTAGTGGGGGACCTCAATATTCCACTGTCACAAATACATCAACCAGATGAAAAATAAACAATGAAATATTAGAACTCAATCAAACTCTTGAACAAATGAACTTATGTTTACAGAGTGTTCCACCCCACAAAATCAGAATACACATTCTTTTCAGCTACACATGGATAGTTCTCCAAAGTAGACCACATACTCGCTAATAGAACATGTTTAAGTAAGTGCAAAGGAATTGAAGTTATCCCCTGTATATTATCAGACCATAGTGTGATGAAATTGGAGACCAATAGCAAAAGAAACTGCAAGAATTTCATAAACACACAGAAACTGAACCACACAGTTCTGAATAACCAATGTGTCACAGAGGACAATGAAGAAATCTGACAGTTCCTTCAATTAAATGACGATGATAATACAACTTATCGGAATCTATGGGACACAATGAAAACAGTCTTATAAGGGAAATTCATAGCAGTGAGTACTCATATTAGGAAAACTGCTCAATTACACAACCTGATGCTGAACCTCAAGCTTCTAGAAAAAGTAGAGCAAGTTAAACTCAAAGCTCATACAAGGGAGGAGATTATAAAGATCAGGGCAGAAATAATTCAACAGAGACCAAGAGAACAATAGAAAAAAATTAATGAAGAAAGAGTTGGTTTTTCAAAAGGATAAACAAAATTGAAAAACCCTTAGCTGTCCTCATTAAATAAATAAATAAATAAAAAATAAATAAAAGGAAAGAAAAGGCCCAAATCCATGCAATTAGGAATCCATGAAATTACAATGGACCCAGCAGAAATCCTATGCATTCCTTGTGGGTATGTCAAACAGTTTGGGAGTTTCTTTTAAAACTAAAAATGGATTTTACCATCTGATTTCATTCATGGGCATTTATCCCAAGAAATGAAAACATAATTCAGGCAGACACACATAAATATTTGCAGCAGTTTTTTTTATAATAGCCCCAAACAGGAAATGACTAGTATGTCCTTAAATAGGTGAATGGATAAATAAATTATGTCTGCACTATAGGATACCATCCAGCAGTTAAAAATATAAACTATTGATACATCCAATACTTGGGATGAATCTCAAATTATGAGAAGTTAAAACTTAAAGGAATATATTATGTACTACATGATCTATATAGCTTTTGTGAAATAACAATTATAGATATGAACAGATTAGTATTCTTGGGTGAATGAGGGGGAAGAGGGAGATAAGACATGTGGCCATAAAGGAGTAGCAAGAGGGAATCTTGGAATGGTACAGCTAATGATCTTGATTGTGGTAGTATTTATACAAAACTATACATATGATTAAGCTCTATAAGACTACACGCACACATGCTCACACATAAATTAGTCATGTATAAATGTTGAATTTTAATTAAGATCTATAAATTTTCTGTTTTTGATACTGTGTTATAGTTACACAGGAAGTTAACACTGGGTAAACTGTACACAGAACCTTGCTTTACTTTTTTTTTTGGGGGGGGTTTTTTGAGACAAGGCCTCACTATATAGTTGAGACTTACCTGTAACTCACTGTGTAGCCCAGGCTGGTCTTGAACTCACAGTGATCCTCCAGCCTCAGCCACCCAAGTGCTGGGATTACAGGCATGCACCACCATGCCTGGCTTGCTTTACATTTCTTTACAGCTGTAATTATTTCAAAATAGAAATTGTTTTCTCCAGAAAACCTACTGAATATATACTATCTCAGATCTTTACAGTAACTCTGAGAATTGAATAGTATGATTACTGACATTTTATAAAAAAGGAAAACAAGGCTCAGAGGACAGACTGCTGATGGAAGATCATACAATTAATATGTAGCAAGACCAGGATGATAACAAGACCACATACTCTTGATAAATATTGATGTTCAGTTATCAAAAATACAGGTGTTCTTTAGATAGCAAATTTAGAAGCAAAAGTAGCAAACAAACCCTCTGTCTTCCCACAACTTACGGAAGACATGAAGGTAGTAGATCTTTGTGGTGGTGCTGTTGATAGTGATGTCTGCTTTGTATTTTCCTGCATCTTCCATTTTCAGGTCACTAATGACCAGGTCGTAGTTCTTTTGTATGACTTTTATTCGTCCTTTATAATTATTGTGAGTCACAATAATGGTGGGTGCTTTTCCTGAGTCTCCTGGTGTAATGACAGCAACAGATGACTCAGAAGTCCAAGCAATGGACTGAACTTCCTTTGAGTTTTGGATATTTAAGGGAAAAGCAACTGACTCCCCAAGAATCCCATTCATGAACAAGTCTGCATCCTTCCCAGTTGCTGTCAGCCCTGTGGACACAAACAGAAAATTGTGAGCATCTGATTGTCACCATTCACAGTTCCTTGTGTTCCCAGCCTGGAGCCTCCCTGAGGAGCTTCCACAGAGACAATTTATCCAGTTTCTTGAGGATATGACCCTCCCCATCTTTTTTTGCAGTCTACTTTGAATATATATGTTTTGGCGACTACATTTTCTAGCAGATTCTCATTAAAAAAACCAAGTTCCTCATTGAATTTCCAAGGATCTATTTTATTAAAATGCTCACCAAGATGTACCACTTCTGAAAGCTAGGAGACATTTGCAACAAAGGCCATAAACTTCCCCAAGGTCCAAGATACAAAGTGTTTTCCTTCTTCAAGGTCATGTAACTGAGTGAAGGAAAAGCTTCAGATAAGGGCCTGGAATATCTAGGCTGATGGGCTCCATGTTTGTTGAGCTCTTAACTGAGATACAAGGAGCTGAAGATATAATGGTGAATAAAAACAGATACAGTTCCTGCTGATTTTATAATTAAAATAAGGTACCAGTATTGATTAGATAACTACACAGATAAAGAGATGGATAAAAAAAAATGCAAGGACCATGAACATTGAAAAAGAAAACAAAAAAATTTGTTCTGTCATGGGAATTCAGGACCATTTCCTTGTGAAAGCTGAGAGACGAGTACTCAAAATATAACAGAAGAAGAAAAACCAGAAGGCTCTTTTTTGCTCTTTTTCTTCTCCTCTATCACCTTGCAAAGATAAATTAACTGAATATGTGCTTGTAAAATGAGATGGAATATAATTATAAGGTATTATGTTCCCTTTTTCCGTGTTCTTCATTGTGTTATTCTCACTGATGTTTCCGTAGTGAGAGCTAGTGTTTGCAGTGAGAAAGGGCGATGTTTGAAGCACTTACTAACTGATGTCACAAGGACACTGAGATCAGAAAGGACGCCAACCAAAAATAGCTAGTTGGGCTGTTCTGATGTGCACCAGCTACGCGCATATGGCCAGCTCGTGTTTTTCCGCATAAGTGGTTTCAGGCTGACTCTAAAGTTTATAAAGGCTTTGCATTCAGATGGAAAGAGTGGGACCACTGAAAGGACAAGTCACTTTGAAGTGCAATGAAAAGAAAGACTTTCGATAGGGCTGTCTTACCCAAGGCAAGGTGTGGCTATCTTGCCTTCAGCTCAGTAGCTACTGCACCAGCCCCAAGACTGCTGTTGTAAACTCTTTCCTCTCAGACTGCTGGAGATTTTTCTTTAGGAGGAGAATCGTAGGCAAGATCTGATGGTTTAGTTTGCGCCTAAGTGCAGGTTAAGTGTAAGAGAAGACATTACAGGGCCCTGAGGGGTGTGTGGGGGTGGAAGGAAGGGGCCGGGAAAAGCAAGGACACTGATCTACAAGAATTTATTAAATGCTAACTATGTGTCAGATGCTATGTTAAGGACAGAGAGATAAACAGGACATCATCACAGCTCTGAGGGATTAATAGCCCAAGGAATAATAGCTATATATATAACAAAAATATAACAATGAATGCTAAATGGAAAGGACAATAGAAACAAACTACTGGGGGGACAGAAAGCTAGGCTAGTGTTGCCTTTGGTGATAGCAGTCATACTTTGCCAGAGTCTTTCCGCATCAATTCTCCCCCAAATAAACTTCTACCAGGTTGATGATGCTTGGCAGAGGGACACATAGAGGCTCCTGAGATCCTGGGGGTCTCAGAGAAGGGCATGTAAACTGGGCAGTGGCAGAGAGCTGAGCTTAGTATGACCTGAGCTTGCTCTGTTGTTCCTATGCCACCTCAGTGTTCTTAATATTATGTGACTGAAAGGCCCCACATTTTTATTTTGCGCTAGGTCCTGCACATTTTATAGCCAGCCCTTGTTCTAGATCTCCCATCTCTCCAGACTTTTTTGGAATTAGGCCCTAACTGTCCAATTTGTTATTTATGTTTTGGGTTTTCACTGGGTGGGAGGAGACAAAGAGGACGTGGAATTATAGTTCTGATGGGTTCTTTCACCAGAACCCAGAAGTACGGAGCTGTTTGCTAAGGTCGAGAGCATCTTGGTATCAGGGCAGCTGTATAGCCACAAGCCGTTGGTGTGCAGTGCACTGAGTGTGTCTTATCCCCAAGTCACTCAGGAAGTGATGCTGGGTTATCTAAGCACAATCGAGCAGCAGAGGTTATATGTAGGCACTGAGGGAGGAAGTCCTGCTCATGCAGAGAAAAAGCAGGGGGTTTGCACAGGCATAAGATGCAGAAAGATTCTTTAAACACTTGCAGTTGTGCTATGAGAGGAAGCTGCAAAACCATAGCATGTGGTAGAAATCCAGGGTGAATGAAGATGTGGGTGCCAGGACTTCTACATGTGAACAAGCAACTTTAATAAAGTAACCTTTCTGAATGTATTTCTTCATCCATAGAATGGAAATAATCACTATACTATGGCCCTGTCTACTTAATAAGCAGCACATATGGTAGTTGGAATAGAAGTGCTTTGTTAATCATCAGAGGAAAATAAATGCTAGTTATTTGGGGGGTTTATGATGATCAATCAGTACATGGCCTTTAGGGCCTTCATAGGCTACCCCTATGCAGCCTAGGACCATACTGGTGCATCATAAAGGGCCAGTTATTTATTTATTTAGCAGGACTAGGAATTGAACCCAGGGCCTTCACCCTGAGCTCCATCCCCAGCCAAGTTTTAAATTGTGAGATCAGATCTTGCTGAGTTTCTAAGTTCAGTCTTATGCTTCTCCAGCCTCTGCCTCCTTGAGTGTCGAGATTGCAGTTATGTTCCACCATCCTGCCTTAGTGTCATTTTTAAGGGTTACTTCAAATAAGACCTGGAGGACTGATTTTTAGGTACTCTTGGAAAATTTAATTTTACCCTTTCAACACTTCTGCCTTTAAAAGAAAGAGTCTCCATTATCAACAAACCCCAATATTTAATGTTTTAGGTGCTAACGGGAATCAAATACTATATTATCACTGGAGGGGAACTTAGAAAATCCAATTGCAGAGAAAATTTGTGGCACAAAAAGTGTCTTGAGGTGGGGCAAGGAGTGTAGCTCAGTGGTACAGTTATTGCCTATCATGTGCTAAGGCCCTGGGTTTAGTTCCCAGCATCCCATATGTATGTACAGGCACACACACACAAATGTCTTGGGGACTTAGAATGAAATATACTATGTTAGTCTATGAGCAAGACAGGGAAATTTAATATCTTGTTAGGTGAATAAGACAAAGGTGTATGTAACTCCCATTTGCAATATGAGGCAGTAAATTATAATTGCAAATGAAGGGCACAACAGCAGATTCAGCAGGAATTCAAAGAATGTGAGGGCACATAAAAGATGATTAATACATGATAGAGTAGAAAAGAGAAGATGGCAGGCAGTAGTTTTTGATGGCCTTCGTCTCTTCAGTAATATTGATAGGGAACACTTATAAATAGCAAAAACCTATAAAGTGTTACAATGTAAAACGGCTTCTGCTGTCTCTAACAGCAGTTTGTTTTGTTTGGCTCAAAGCTAATAGGCACCTAAGGCACTAATTGCTGAATGAGGCATTTGGTCTGACCCTGAGATAACAGTCAAGGTCTTGAGCTCCGATGAGAATGGAGCCACCTGATCATAAAACTGTCTAAATGAAAGAACCCATTGCTAGCATTTGCTCCCCTGACCCTGATCACCCCCTTTCCTATGGACTAGAATAGATAACTAGGCGAATCTTAAAGGTAAACTCCCCAACTGCAAAGAACTGTTAACATCTGGGTTGAAAAGATTAACTATTTTGTGACTGTGATTTGAACTGTGAGAATGGAACGTAACCACCCAATGAAGTCAAGGCTGTGAAATCTTATAAAAGGAGGAGTTGTAACCCAGAGCATTGTCGATCTAGGCACAACTTATGTGCAATCGACACTTATCAATAAGTAAATTTGTTATTTTACTTCCATTCTGCCGCCTCTCTGTGTGTCACTTACTGATTCCTTCCATAACAATATAGGAGGTAAGATTATTTACCAAGAGTGAGCAGACCAAGGTTAGACTTGCTAGAAGTGCAAAGATTAATGGCATATGTTTAGAATCCAGGTGTATTTGGACCTGGTGATATTATCTTGAGAAAAATTATTGAATTCAGCGATTCTCAGTTCCTTATCTCTAAAACGTAGATAATTATTAAATGACTTATAAAGATAAAACAAGCTCATTGCTTGGTGCATGCTAATGGTAACTGCTACTATTACTTTGATGAATGCGAAACATTTTGAAGACAGGTATGGTGGTGCACACCTGTAATCCCAGCACTCCGTGGGGCTGAGAGTCAGGACAATTGCCAGGTCATGGACAGCCTCTGAAATTTAGCAACTTAGTGAGAATTTGTCTCCTAAAACTTTAAACATAAACAAAGGCATTGTACCTCTGGGTTTTGGGAAGCTCCCTCACCTCCTTTCATCACTTTATTATTCTCTAGAAGGAGGTTTTGTGCTTGCTGTCCTCCTCTTTGCCTACCATATTGGTCTCTCCTGTAATGTTACAACATCAGACTTCCTGATCACCATTCCTAAAATAGCGCCCCCAGCCCATTGCTGTGCCTTGCTTTACTTTTCTTCATGGCAGTTATCACAACTGAAGCATTGCCCAGGCACACTGATCTACTGTCTTTCAAATTCCCCAAAGCACAACCCTACTATAATATTATCACCCAGAATATACAGGCTTTTTCTTTTGTCACTACCACTACTCCAACAATTAGGGGATGATTATTAAATGTTTGTTGAAAAACAATGAATACCTTTTTGGGGGGCTACTGATCCAAATCCTTTAGGTACCACTGAAAACTCTAAAAATAAGACAGAAATTTGCAGCTCAAAACAAAGCCAGCCAGAGAGAACTCTTCACTGGTCTCTGGGTCTTGTTGTGAAATGTCAAAGATTTAAAGTGATTTATAAGAAGGAGCCGTTGGCTCACTGTAACTTCTTTTTATGTCAATATTCTATATGGCCAAT